TACAGTTCAAAGGGTTGTTTTAAGAATTTTATGAGTTTTGATATGAAAACTCCTTTGAGCCACGTCTGGCATATTGATAGCAAGCAGCACAATGACATTATCTATTATTATGTTACTCACTTTTCCCCTTTAAAGTGAAAGTCTGTTTGATATCTGAGTATCATACTTGCATAATGTTATGGTCCGAATGTTTTGTCCCCTGAAAACTCATATTGAAACTTAACCCCTAGTACAACAGTGTTAGAAGGTGGGGCCTACTAGAAAGTGTTTAGGTCATGAGGATGGAGCTCTCATGAATGAATTAATGCTGTTATACAAAGGATTGTGGGAACAGATTTTCTCTCTTCTGTTCTTTTGTCTCATAAGAATCAGCGTTTCTCCTCTCCAGATTATGCAGGGTTCAAGGTACCATCTTGGAAGCGGAGACCAGGCCCTTACCAGACAGTAAACCTGCCAATGCATTGATCTTGGACTTCTCTGACTCCAGAACTATGAGAAATCATTTCTATTTGTTTATAAATTACCCAGTGTGGGCCGGGCGCTGTGGCTCACGCCTGTAATCCCAGCACTTTGGGAGGCCGAGGTGGGAGGATCACGAGGTTAGGAGAGTAAGACCATCCTGGTCAACACGGTGAAACCCCGTCTCTACTAAAATACAAAAAATTAGCCGGGCTCGTGGTGGCGGCGCCTGTAGTTCCAGCTACTCCGGAGGCTGAGGCAGGAGAATGGCGTGAACCCGGAGGCGGAGCTTGCAGTGAGCTGAGATCCGGCCACTGCACTCCAGCCTGGGCGACAGAGCGAGACTCCGTCTCAAAAAAAAAAAAAAAAAAAAAAAAAAAAGAAAAAAAAAATTACAGTGTGTGGTATTCTGTTACAACAACACAAAACAAATTAAGATGCAGAGTTCAGTTATTCTGAAATCATTTAACCACTTGCCTTTAAAACTTATTTTAAAATATCATTTCTAGTTAAAATTTGGAGCAGGTATATCCATGACACGTAATCTATTAGCTAGGGATCTTTTGGCACAGGGATTGTTGTCAAATTTTACAATATATATAAATTTCCTGGAGAACCTGATAAAATAAAGATTGCTGGGCCCATCCACAGCGTTTCTGACTGAGTGGGTATCAGACTTTCCCAGAGAATTTATTTGCATTTTAGCAATTTCTAATGTGATATTGATTCTGCTGATCTGGAGACCAGACTTCAGAACCATTGTCTTAGCAAATGACATCCAATGTTTGTTTGGTAAAGAATTTTGAAAAGGTAAACAGTAAATTTACTCCTCTGTGTGTGTATATATACATCCATCCACATTCACATATATAACTTAATAGATATATAAAATTATCATTTACTATGGATTTAAAAAGACATTAAATAATCATGTAGTATGAATATGTAGGATGTTTAATATTCATATAACATTTCTAAATTGCCATCATTGGCATGTTTAAAAAATATTTTATTTCATAAACATGGGATTTTTTAATTTCTTAAAATGACTAATTAACTCATTCACCCTTGTCTGACAGATATGTATGTAATCACTGTTCATTTGGGGCAGGAAGCCATCCTGGATGACCTCCTTCGTGCCCGTTCCTTGCCCCTGCTCACCTTGGTAAAGGTCTGGGAAAAAATAAGACAATGAATAAACAGAAAACTTTGCTGGCTTCCAAGCGCGTGATTGTGTATGTATATGAGATTTTTGAGATTTTATTTTAATGAAGAGTATTTTCCTTTAACAGTATAATTGGAAAGAATATAAAGCCATGTAATATGAAAACTTTAATAACTATTAGTGGCATAGTAATAGTAAATAATGTAAGGAAGAGGAGGGCCAATCAAAACACTAATGAGCGAGCTTGTATTTTGTAACCGAGTTTTTCTTACGTATAGATGTGCATAAGTTAAAATGCAAGATAACATGTGAAAGATTTATTTGAACTTCCCTTTGTGGTAAAACTGGCAGTGAAGTACTCATATCCAGGGACATAATGCTCTAATTTTGGAGTTTCACTCTTGTTGGCCAGACTGGAGTGCAATGGCGCGATCTCGGCCTACCCCAACCTCTGCCTCCCCGGTTCAAGCAATTCTCCGGCCTCAGCCGCCAGAGTAGCTGGGATTTCAGGCATGTGCCACCACATCTGGCTAATTTTGTGTTTTCAGTAGAGATGAGGTTTCTCCATGTTGGTCAGGCTAGTCTCTAACTCCCCACCTCAGGTCTCCCAGGCCGCCTGCCCTGGCCTCCCAAAGTGCTGGGATGACAGGCATGAGCCACTTCACCCAGCTATTATTTCTTTTATAAATGTGTGAGGGAACTAGTATTTGAACTTTGAAAAACTGGGTGATTCGAGCTACTGTCTGATTTAAACCCATGAACTCACCAAATGTAGTAAAATGTAATAAAATCATATTACACTTTCTTATCTTGCTGAAAATATAGGTATGTTTTATTGAAGCAACTACATTCTTAAGAGAAGGAATTAATTCTTTTCACTGTTAATGTATAGAGTGTCTCAGAACATAAAATAATCTAGGTGTTTCCATGTGGCCAAATTGTAAAACAATATGTTCTAGGATTCTGTCAAGTCATCAGACAGTATTCCCACATCTCCCATTCAAGATCACAGGATATCAGCTTTAAACAAACAGAACTGTGAAACCCAATTAATCTAAAAGGTGGTCCATTTTTGTTAGTTTCTTGGTTTAGGGCACCATTCTGTTTTATTGTACAGGTCATAAAACTCATGTGAAATCTGTAACTGATCCAGCTTTTCCAATTGAAGAAATAAGTACCCAGTTCACCTCCTTGCCTCTGAACGGCATTTTGAAAATTATTAATCAAACTACTCTTCTAATAATAAATTGATTTCATCCATCTGTAGCAAAAGTAAGTGCTGGATAATTAAATTTGATTATATTATCGACCATAAGAAATAAGTAAAAGTAAATCATTGTTGCTTCTGAAATCCAAATATGACAAGGATTTGATTTCAGGCACCTGAACTGTGTAGCTCAATTTGAACAAAAATATTAATGAAGGTTATCTAAGCTTTGGTTTTCTTACCTCTAAAATTAGGATAATAACTTCTTCATTTTAAAGTTTCTATTAGGATAAAGTAAGCATGTTTTACCATTATTATTCTTATTTTTATTATTAATGCATCATTAATTTTCAGTTCTACTTAGATGACATTATGCTGCAAACCATTTTTTATTAATTTCATATAATGTAGGTAGTACTCTAACTGATGAATAATTTTTTAAAAGAATGTTTATTCATTCTTGCTATTGGATATATCTAATCTAGCCTTCTCCTTCTGAGGAGGTAAGAGCGCTCTTCAACTACTGGTGCATGTTTGTGACGTAATTTCAGGTCTTGATATGTAATGAAAAGTATTTATTTGTGTGTATATCTACTTACTTAACAAGAGACACATGCTTCAGCTTTGTTTTCCAATTTTAGATTTCCAAATTTTAGTTTTTTTGTTTTGTCTAAAATTGTAAGCTTACAATTTTAATCCAGTTTAATATCTATATATCAAAATATGATCACTTCCTTTAGAATTCAAAAAAAAAGAGTGTTTGAGATTATATGCACTACCAGGGAATTTTATTACCAGAAGAAACCCTGCAGTATAATTTATAAATACAAAAACTGAAGTTTTAATGTTACTAAGTTAATGTTAAAACTCATTATATTACTATTACTCGTTAAATATTCTGGACTTTGAGGTGTCTATGTTACCTCATGATTCTGGTAAAAACAGAGAACATAGAATATTCTTTTCGGTGACTGAAAAAGAGAAAAGTAAAAGGGCAGTTTTGGGTGAAGAAGCTTTTGAGGCACTTTCTCTTTAAAAAATCTGAATATACTAGTTGTGGGAGTGAGACACTGTTGTTTCCATATTTCATTTCATCACTTTTATGTCAGTGTTCTGAAACCTATATCCTAAGTTAGTGGGTACAAGAGGGCCCAGTTCTGGGAGGCTAATCTGCTCCTTACTGATCCAGATAAAGGGGAGGTTTCCAACATGCTAATCTGGCTGAGGGCTTATGAGACTGTTATTGGCCTGTGATCTATTTGACCTCTCTTGTCTTCTCCATGGGGAAGTTACACAATTTATTTTGGACAGACTAAGCTCATCTTTCATGAAGTGGCAGCCTTTATCTTTTATTGTTTCCATTGATTAATGCCAGTAGGTTCTTATCTGTCTTGACCAGCTGCTGCTGTGAGGTGCGAAACCTGTGCCCTTATTCACAGGAAATGCAACTGCCCCACCACCACCCTGGGTTTCACTGACATCATGGTCAGTGGAAGAAGTAACTTCATGCCCATGTACCTTCACAGGAGTCCAGATCCCTTCACTTTGTTCAGAGGGGATTACAAACACCCGAGGCTGTTGTGTTGTCCATAGCTAAGCTTGGCAAATGGGCTCACACAAGAGAGTGACTTACCATAGTATCCTTACCACTCTGCTTCTAGATCCTGTAATCGAATATCTAAGTTGTTTCATCTTTCATACATTGTGAATACTTTTCCCTCCTATTTTGAGATACCAAAGAGGTACTTTCCTCTTACTCAAACCCTACTACAAAACATAATGTTCTAATTTACTTTCCACTGAGGCTTTCTCTCTTTCTATATGACTGAGAAGATCTCTCAGTAAGTGTCTTTTTGCACAAAGTGCAAAGTAATGAAACTAGTACAACAGAGGACAATGTACAATGCTCTGAAACCATTTTATACACCATCATATAATTATTTTATTGTTCCATTTATTTTGTTTAACATGTAGTGGTAAAGCCTTAGGTATCAGAAACTTCATGTGGAACTGGCTCCAATTGATCAATTATTGGAATATAGGAGGTGTGACATACTGCTTTGAGGTGTGAATACTGCTTTGAGGTGGCACACTGCTTGCAGGAAGCATGGCCACTGCTTTGAGCCTTTGCTGCCATTCCAAAACCATGGGAGAATTATAAGCTTTATATCCTGGTATGCATACAATTATCCATAGAACTAGTTAGCTTCAAAGTTCTAAATGGAATGTATATTGTTGTGGTTGCTTGTATCTGCCCATGTTAGATTCTTTCTAGCAATAATTTTGAGAGACTATGGATTGTGGGCTGAATGGAGGATGAAGCCTTTTCAAATTCGCCTCCCAGGTAGACAATGACACGTAGTTTCCAGAGACTAACGTGCTTCAAATGTTGGTCTCTATAACTACTACGTACTCCCTTTTGTTTATGTATATGTTCCCATTCATGAACTACCTAATAGGGGCCTTAAACTCATACTCGGTATGTTAAACAGTCTGAGCTGCTGTAACAAATACCATAGACTAGGTGACTTATAGTAACATAAACTGGGGGTTTCTGTTTCTGTTTCTCTTGGTTTCTGTACTTCTGGAGGCTGGGAAGCCCAAAATTAAACAGATTTGGTGTTTGATGAGGGTTCACTTCCTCACAGATGACCAACGTCTTACTGTAACTTCACAGGGCAGAAACGGGGAGGGATCTTTCTGGGGTCTATTTCTATAAGGGCATTTCTCCCAATTCTGAGAACTCCTCCCTTGTGACCTAATCATCTGCTAAAATCCCTACTTCCTAAAACCACTGGGAGTTAGGACTTTAACATATTCTTTTCAGAGACATGTATTCAGTCCTTTGGACTGGGAAACTGTAGTATTCAGAATTTATTACTTTGCTGATGCTTCGTTGCTGCACATATAATACAAAAGAATATTTTTATGTATTTTTAGAGACATTGCCTAGGACTCCAGGTTTGGGACGAATCTCTAAGCTACCACTCAGTACAAAGTATCTAAAACTAGGAAGAAGACATTCATGTTCCTCTCTAGAGAGAACAAAAACGAATGCCATAGTTGGAGTGTAACAAAGCCTCCAACTTCATCTCACATCTAACTTGAAAATCACCATGTACATGAAATATATCTGACCCTGAATGACACTCTTTTCTCCTACTCTAATTGATACCCCTCTTTCCTAATCCATTGTCTATGTCAACTATTCCTGCTATTCCTCTTCTTTAGGATACCTGGATTTACTTTATAGCTCTTCCATGTACAAATCTAATGGATAACACAACATCTCTGAGGCTCATATTTTGTTCTGTAAAACCGGGATGAAGGTTAACCTACAAATGATCTGCAGGTTTCTACAGTGAACCCACTAGAAAACGCTTCTGGAGAGAGAGTGTTTCATAAGTATGAGACTTCACGATGGAAAGTCTGAATTTTCTTCCCCAAATTAAGACACCTGTGTATTTGGATGAAGCATAATGCAAAATGCATTTTCCTTCTGAGACTTCAGGAGAACTCTCCAACTAATATAATTATGTGATTATTACTATTCTTTGAAGATCTGTGATTTAGAAAGTATTTAAACCATGAGTGTTTATAAACAGTGTTTGTATTTTAGGTTCACTGATAGCAATATATTACTTTATCAAATTAAATAGATTTATGAATAATAAAACAATGTAACATTGAGATTATTTGGCAAAACAACTAGAAGACCACCTGTTTGTCTGGCATAATTATATATTTTGTCTGGTGACATGTATGTTTAAAAATCAACATAGTTATACTTATTAGCAAGTATTAAAACATGTATACATATATGCACTATATATGCACACATGTAGACAATATGGAAAACAGTAATATACTTAATAAAACATAAAAATTAATAAATACATATTTGGGATTTTTTAATTATGTACGTTGTCATTCATGTATATGAAATGTTTATGTACTTACCAATGTACATAGATTTGATGTAGTTCTTATTTGTTTTCATTTCAAATAATAGTCTCTGTCTATATACAATTTCACATGCACAAAAAAATTCAGAGTAAGGGCTCCAAAAATCTGTGCCTCAAAGAAAGCAGTAAGAATCCAGGAAAAAAAGGGCAAAACCAAAATTTTAGAACTCTGAACATTACGCAGTGATCTCAAACAATCTAAAGGTCATTTTGAAAACTGTGAAACTATCATAAGAACAGTGAGCTGTGGAATTTCAACTTGTTCTAATTCCATCCCCCAACCCCCAGATTCACAGAAGACTTGCACACCAACAGCTTTGTAGTCACAGTAGCCATAATGTAATGAACAGAAAAATTCCACCTAAAGATGTGTGTGTCATATCTCCCAAAACCATAAACATATTATCTTATACATTATCATATATGTCAACATAATGTCTAATTGAATGAATCCAGTGACATATACTTTAGAGACACAATGTTCTTAAAGTTTTTACAATTGCCAAAAAAAAAAAAAAAAAAAAATGCCACCTTGGACTGAAAGACAAAAACAGAAAGAAGAAATGAAAGAAATTCACTGGACTACCAAAATTGTATAAACAGAATATTTCCTAATAAAATTACTCAGCTGAAAACACAAGCTTACTTTTTTTTTTTCAACTTTCATTTTAGGTTCAGGGGATACATGTGAATGTTTATTACATGGGTAAATTTTATGTTGTTGGAGTTTGGTATGATTTTGTCACTCAGGTAGTAAGTATATTGCCTGATAGGTAGTTTTTCAACTCTCACCCTCCCGCAAGCCTCCCCCTTCAAGTAGGCTCTGGTGTTTGTTGTTCCTGCCTTTGTGTTTAGCTCCCACTTACATTTACATAAAAATGCCCATTTTTAAGGGGGCATTTGTTAATTCCTTGTTGATTTCAGTTTCTTATAGATTCTGAATATTAGACCTTTGTCAGATGCAAGGTAGTTTGTGAATATTTTTCTCCTATGCTATAGGTTGTCTGTTTACTTTGCTGACAGTTTCTTTTGCTGTGCTGTGCAGGAGCTGTTTAATTATGTCCCACTTGTCTATTTTTGTTTTTGTTGCAATTGCTTTTGAAGTATTTGCCATAAAATTTTTGCCAAGGCCTATATCCAGAATGGTATTTCCTAGGTTTTCCTCCAGGGCATGTAGTTTTGGTTTTGCATTGAAGTCTTTAATCCATTTTGAGTTTACTTTTTTATATGGTGAAAGGAAGGGATCCAGTTTCAATCTTCTGCATATGGCTAGCCAGTGGTCCCAGCACCCAATATTGAATAGAAAGTCCTTCCTCATTGCATTTTATTGTTGACTTTGTTGAAGATCAGATGGTTATTAGTGTGCAGCTTTATTTCTGAGTTCGTTAACCTGGCCCATTGGTCTGTGTGCCTGTTTTTGTACCAGTACCATGCTGTTTTGGTTATTATAGCCTTATCATATGGTTTGAAGTAAGATAGCATGATGTCTCCAGGTTTGTTCTCTTCCCTTAGGATTGCTTTGACTATTCAGGGTCTTTTTGGGTTCCATATAAAATTTAGAATAGGTTTTTCTAATTCTGTGAAAAATGACATTGGTAATTTGATAGGAATAGCACTGAATCTATAATTGCTTTGGGCAGTATGGCCATCTTGACAATATTAATTATTCCTAGCTATGAGCATGGAGTATTTTACCATTTGTTTGTGTCATCTCTGATTTCTTTCAGCAGAGTTTTTTTATTCTCATTGTAGAGATTTTTTCACTTCTGTGGTCAGCTGTATTCTTAGGTATTTTATTCTTTATTAGGATATTTGTAAATGATATTGTGCTCTTGATTTGACTCTCAGCTTGGTCAGTACTGATGTATAGATATACTACTGATTTTTGTATATACATTTTGTATCTGGAAACTTTACTGAACTCTTTTTTTTTTTTTAAGTTTTAGTAGTCTTTGGGCCGATACTATGGGGTTTTATAGGCATAGAATTATATCATCTGCAAAGAGAGATAGTTTGGCTTCCCCTCTTCTTACTTGAATGTCTTTTATTTCTTTCTCTTGACTAATTGATTTGGCTAGGATTTCCAGTAAAATTTTTATTGTTTTGAGATCAGATTGTTCTCTGTTGTCTAGGCTGGAGTGCAGTGGTGCAATCATGGCTCAATGTAGCCTCAACTTCCCAGGTTCAGATGATTCTCCCACCTCAGCCTCCCAAGTAGCTGAGACTATAGGTGTATGCCACAATAATAGCTAATTTTTGCATTTTCTGTAGAGATGGGGTTTTGCCATGTGGCCCAGGCTGGCCTCAAGCTCTTAGGCTCAAGCAATTCCTCAGCTTCCCAAACTGTTGGAATTACACCAATATTATTTTGAACAGGAGTGGTGAGAATGGTCATCCTTGTCTTGTTCTGGTTCTCAAGGGGAATGATTACAGCATTTGCTCTTTTGTTAATAGTGGGATGTTGACTGTGGGTTTGTCATAGATGGCTCTTATTATTTTGAGGTATATTCTTTCACTGCCTAGCTGTTGAGGGTTTTTAACACAAAGGAATATTGAATTTTTATCAAAAGCCTTTTCTATGTCTATTGAAATGATCATGTGTTTTTTGTTCTTAGTTCTGTTTATGTGATGAATCACATTTAGTGAATTGCATATGTTGAACCAATCTTGCATTCCAGGATTAAAGTCTATTCAATCATGGTGGATTAGTTTTTTGATGTGCTGCTGGATTTGGTTTGCTTATTTTGTTGAGGGGCTTTACAACAGGGATATTGGCCTGAAGATTTTCATTTGTAGTGTTTCTGCCAGGTTTTGGTATGAGAATAATGCTGGCCTCCTAAAATGAGTTAGAAGATATGCCCTCTTCCTCAATTTTTTGCAATAGTTCCAATACGACTGTTATTATTTCTTATTCATGTATCTTGTAGAAATAGGCTAGTCCAAGGCTTTTTCTTGTTGGTAGGTTTTTTATTATTGACTCAGTTTTGGATCTTGTTTTTGGTCTGTTCAGGATTTCAATTTCTTCCTGGTTTAATGTTGGGAGGTCATATATTTGCAGGAATTTATTTATTTCTTCTAGATTTTCTAGTATGTGTACGTAGAAGTGTTTGTAACAGTCTTGGAGTTTTTTTGTATTTCTGTAGGGTCCATAGTAAGGTCCCCTTTGTCATTTATGATTAAGTTTATTTGGATTTTCTCTTTTTATCTTTATTCATCTAGCTGGTGGTCTATCAAAGCAAGCTTGATTTTTCTTTTAAAAAACCAAGTTTTGGTCTAAGTTAATCTTTTGTATGGTTTTTCACATCTCATATTCATTCAGTTAGCTCTGTTTTTGGTTATTTCTTTTCTTCTGCTAGCTTTGGGATTGGTTTCCTCTTTT